AAATGACCCGAAAGGCAAAACACCGGAGTTGTTAATTATAGATGGGAGCTAGACTTCCCCCAGTTGTATTAATGTTGTATAGTTTTTTTTTTACGTGCTTTTTACAACACAAACCCTGTATGTCTACTTCTCTGTTTCTAGGGAAACAGAGCGCTGGTTTGGCATCAGCAGGGGGGTTTCCTTGGAAAACAATGTGCATCAGAAGCACAGGTTTTCAAAGTGCTCCGGTGTACAACCATGGTCCTTTTTACATATAAATTGGCCTGTCAGAGAGAGGGTGTGATTTTTTTTTTCTCCATAAGTGGCCTCTCCACTCCCTTGCCACATTTTCTTGTCTCATTTTCTGTCGTGTCATTCCTGTGTTTGTGCAGACACATACGTCAAGCTCAGTTTAAAGCAAGCCGAGCATGAAGGAAGGACTGGCCCACACACACATACACATACACCACACTGGCACAGCTGCAGCACTACTTGTAGACCGCTGTCAGCTCTGTCCTGTCTGACCCACTTTGGATGTTTCTGGAAAAAAGGGCTTTTCCAGACCAGCAAGGAGATATCCCCTTTGCCTTGCTAAAGCATTTCCAACTCTTGAGCCATTTAAAATTTTCAAATTTTTGTATACAACATACTACGTATTGAATTGTGAAGATGAAGGTGAAAAAAATACATAGTTCTCAATTATATGAAATTAAAAAACAAAAAATGTGCATTTGGTTTCACCTTTAATTAGTTGTAAAACAAACTTTTGCAAGAATGACAGCTACCACTCTCTTACATGTCTCTAACACCAGTATTTTTTGCAGCCTTTAAGAGGTATCCTTCCCTTACATATTCTGTATTAAAGCCTCATTCATCTTCCTATTAAGCAATGCATCTGCACATTATAATGAAACCACCATCACAATGCTCCTTAAGAGTAACGTCTCATGGATATGCCATCAAAACAGACAGGGTCCTGTCAACACTGTGGTGGAACAAACATTCATCGTGCAGGAGACCAATCATCTAGGAAAGATCTCTAGATCATGCAAACTAATCTAATAGTCTGATCTGGGCAATGTGATTTTATGGTTTATGAATCTAATCTGCTGGGATAATTAGACTCAGAGAAGTGGGATTATGACCCACAGCTGGATGGAGCCAGAACTCACTTACCAGATTTGAATATAACAGGATTTAGAACTTGCATTTAATCCTCATAAGATGAAGAATATAAATATATAAAACCAACTAACAAAAAAAAAAAAAAAACAGCAGCTATGCATCAGCCATCAAAACACAAGAAGGATTTGTAATCAAAGCAAATGTGATGCAAAGTGTTCCAGGCATATCCCATGAGTTGCCAGAGAAGGACAGAGACCACATCTGTGTTCTATAATGAACATAAAAAGCAATAAATCTTTATTTTAGAACAACAGACCATCATTTTTCCACTTAGACGTTTTTATGGTGGAAATAAATCAAAAGCAAACTAACATATCGTGAAGATTGGATGGAATAAGTTTGAAGCCAATCGAAAGACGAAAAACCACAAAATATGTCAGAGTCAGTCATGCCAGCCTACAGAAAAAAAAGAAAAACTACAGTACTGCTGCACTCAAAAGATCAATATATGGTGCCAAAAGGAATACAGGACATAGGGCTTCTTTTAAGTCACCCTCACTCTGTCATCTTTACACATCTCATTGGGATTCTGAATCTGACTTCAATCTATATCTGTCCAGCTGAATGGCAGAAAGGTGCTCTGTTCTCGGCTCAGCTGTCAAAGTGTTTTCTTTGTATTCACTTGGGAAGCGCTGGTCTCACGACACATAAGATTGGTCGTGCATACGGCCAACATAACCCAGAAAAACAAAAGGTCTATGAAGTCTCTAAGGGTTTATATTGAGTTGGGTACACTAAACAAGTAATTAGTCCTTAAAATCTGTGTGCTTTGGTGATTACATGGTGAAAAAGATGAAAAATAGGATGAGGAGTGAAAAATGTGGACTGCACAGGACTTTAAAAGGAAAAGCCTGCCATGACAGCAAAATATTAGGTCATTTTTGTAGATTCTCGTGTGGTTGTAGTAAATTATGCATCTTTTTATATGGTCTGTAATCGTAAACAAAATACAATTAAAACAACATAAAGCAAGAGTCAGCTCTGATTGTAGTTATACAAATGGAAAGAAGATTCATTCCTTTGGCTTTTCCATTACTTCTGTGAATTTCTGGGAGCTGGGGTGTCACAATTTAAAAATACTGATTTAAAAAAAGAAATTTTTATATTGAGTTTAGATGTCAATGTATTTTCATCATCTTTATCTTTATTATTGCCAGATTTAATTAAATGTATACTTTTTTAATACATTTGATTATTATATTCACGTTTGATTATCTTTCCTTTTTTTTTCTCTTTGGACCTCCATAGCTGATGGGGACATCTGCCTAACAGATTAATCAGTCCATTGCACATAAAGAGACTCAGCCAAACATAACACCACACTCTGTCCATACTGGGGACCTTCTGATCTCTGCTCCGAATACCAAGTGATGCTCCACAGGTCAACAGAAGAGGGACAACCGCTGACCACGGAAAAACGGAGCCGTACTATGACACAGCAGCTTAAAGGATAACTTATTAAACCTCCAATTATTATGAACTCTGACCTGTGTCCAGATGTGTCCTCTGTGGTTATTATATGAATCCTGTTCTATCAAAGCCCTTTTAATCCATGTAATCAGTGGGATTTAGTAAAGGAGACATTTCATCATGTTGCTCAAATGTGAAAGCAGGGAACACGAGAGGGACTCACCAATCAAAATGGCTCTCTTTTGTGGAGAAGATGAATGACTAAACAATGCATCTGCACTTTCTTTAACTAAGGCACAGTCTGGATGGTTCATCTTAAGTATCTTGTCAATCGGCCATAGTTTAAGTGGATCTGAAGCAACAGGTTTGATGCATGATTAGTTTTAAAGAATCACTGCAATCATTCAAATGTACCCAACTTTCCTTTTTGAATTTATTGTAATTTTTCAACGTCATTAGCAGCTTTGAAATAATTATTGACAGTGCTCTTTAAAAATCCCAGGCTGCCACGTTACAGCTTAAATATTCCTGACATTTTCATAATTGCAGTAAATATCTGCCTGAGCAAGAGGCCTCTAAGCGCCCCTGCATTGGTGAAAAACAGTCTGTTTGAAAAGTTTAACCCTAATTCTGCTCAAGATGGTGACAGTTTTGGACTTGCATGAAACTTAGTGTGTCCATTAATCGGTTGGTATCTTTAGTTGGGCTATAAGTAAATTCAACAACTTTTGTATATCCATGCTATAAAAATAGCATGCTCTTTACAGATTAGCAGCTGTGACAGATTGGTTAAATCATCTACATTATTTAATGTAGATGATTTAGAGAAAAATGTCTCCAATTCCTAACTTTTTTCATGCTCACAACTAAGATTTCATCATCTTCTTGTTCTTTAGATTTTTTTCATGAATGAAATGCAAAATGTTTCCTTGGCTTTATACTGTACTTAGTGCAAAATCCAAAGATACACCGACCAGATCTTTCCTGAAACATATATTATCTTTAAAGTTAGACCTATTTTTCCATTTATAAGTCCTACAACAACACATTTGGTGAAATGTGCTGAAAGAAAAAAAGAGAAAATAACAGAAGAACAGGAGCATGAGAATTTATGGATAAAAGGCATTATAGATGTTTTTTGCTAAACTAAAAAAAGGGTGTTTCAATCTTCATGTTGTTTATGCATTACAAACAAAAAAGCATAGGTGATCAAGCATGCTGATTACCAGTCAGAGCTTTTCAAGTGAACATTTGACCCATATCAATCTTTGGCCAACTCTTCAGTACTTCTCTTATCACCTGTTTACACTGATTGTAGAAATATGATTTCTCCTCTTTTATTTGTTTGTTTTTCACTTGCAAATCCTAACTTTTAATGGTTCTAGTTTATCATGTTCTATAAAATTCAGCACATAAGTAACAGAAATAACAGCCAACAGACTTTGAAGACCATAGCCCTAAATATTTTCTTATCTTTTCTCTTCATTGAACATAAAAATGTAACATGATGGATGTTATTACTTGTCGTTTTTGTTACAGCTGACAAGTAATATTTCATTCCAAGGCCTGGACGATATAACATAAAAAAAAGTTGTTTATATTCTTGAATAGAAAAAGTATTCTGATTCCAACAGAAAACCTAAACATTTATAAGTTTAATGTATTTAAAAATGGGGTAATAATGATTTATTTCACTTTTTATTCTGCTGATTACCACGAGGAACAATATTTTGATCTCCAACAGTGAATAGTCATTACACCAAGGTTGTATGTGCGGCCATATTTACACCAATTTCAAAAAGCCGATGTGTAGCACCAATCAGGTTTTTGCCAGTCTCAAAATATTAGAGGCCTTTACTAATGATTCCAAAGTTCTTCTCCAAAGGCAAATCCAAAAAAAACAGGTGATATTATTTTACCCAACAGGAAATAAAATAATTACAATTTCTTCCAGATCTGTATCAAATTCTTGATTAGATCTATTTAATTCAGTTAAGAAATGCAACTTGCTACATAGGTTTAAAGGCTATATATGGTGAAACTTGATTAGCTTTATAGTTATTGAATAGGAGGGGGGAAATATTAATCTGATCGCTTGATCAGAGATGATTAATGGAAAATTGGCTTATGATGTCTTTTTTTTTTAGAGTTTGAGTGCCCAATTTAGCTATTTTAACCATGTCAATTATTTAATTCTAAGGTAAACATAAATAATAGGTTCTGACATTTAAATTTAGATTCTAAATTTTTAGATTTTAGATTATCTTGATAATAGGATGCAAAAATATATATGTTTTTTAATCCTACATGTCAATAAACATTCAGAGCTAATCATCAAATAATAATTGGCTGATTTTGATCACTGATTACTGCATATCTGTCCATATGCTCACAAACAAAACACTTAAGTTTTGAAGTTTCCAGACCTTGTCTCCGTAGCCTCCTTTTCCTGAGCCCAAAGATGCGCACTTTTGAGAAGATGTCGACCAGGTTCCCATTGCAGAGCCCCTTGTTCTTGTTGGGGCTCTTCCTCCGTCGGTTGGTGGAGGGTCTGTCCAAGTGCTGCTCCCGCGCTTGCCTCTTCTGTCTGATCAACCCACTCGCGATGGCAGCGGCCATGGCTCGGAAATGTCACAACCGCACAGGTCCAGTCTGCGCGCAGAGAACCGCCACCTCACGGAGCTCACAGCCCGGGTCACAGTCCCATACCGGCTGCGAAAGGTATTTCTGATTGCTGGCTTTTCCTCCTTTGTTCAAACACTACATGATATTTGTGATACTAAACCTGATCCAATTATCATTCGAAATATTCTTGAGCATGATGGAACAATTTAACATCTTCATGAGCAATCCCGCTCATCAGTGACAGCGCGCTTGATTAAAAAAGCCCAACTCATGCGCATGGAGATCTCAGAAGAATATTCATACCTGTAGCCTGCATTTGCTCTCAATCAGTCAATCGTCTTTAGAAATGTTTAAAAGCTCCACTGCGTCCTTGCGGGACTCTAAATGGGGAGAAAAATATCTTCGACCCTCTTTTCCCTTTTTTTATCTTCTGTTTTATCCTTTTTCCTTCTTCTGTCAGACGAATGGCAGCACAGCTCGGCCAGTGGGGACGCCTGTGCATGTGCGCCGCCGGGCAATTAAACAAACACAGGCACCTCCTACGAAGATAACCACCCGGCTGAGAGCAGAAAAGCCAAGGCGAGACGCGAAGTTTGCAAAAGGATATCCACGACAGCTTCCCCAGAAGAGTTGCACATTTCACAGAAAAATACGCAAAATCGGAGAGCTCCGCAATTATTGGACATTCCTCCGAAAATGTTCTGCAAATCTCAGTCCGGTGACAGTCAGACTGAGCAGAAAGGGGGGAGCTGATCTGAGCGCCTTGCAGATGACGTCTGCGTAGTATTTTGATATAGAAATGTAAACTCCCCGAAGATCAGCGCATTGCATGACCCATGACATCTGAGAGGGTGATGCTTCTAAGGCGATCCTTGGCGAAATGAGAATCTGGGAAGAAAAGCCACTGACAACCTAGACGATGTATTTTCCCACGCTCGATGAGCGGGGGCAAAGGATGTGAAGTGATAATCAGTGGTGGGTTTTTAGCCTGTACGCCCCAGACCAACTAAATCCTCCTCATCAACAAGTCCTAACCACTGACTGCCCGACTAAGCGAGGACGTCCCCCCTCCTTTTTCAACACTAAGGGAGGGAGAAAAAGGTTTAACAGGAGTTGAGGAGGTATATTGTATATTTTCGCTCTGCTCCCTGTAACATCAGATCTCATTTTGCTTTATCCTCCTTAAATTATTTTATGCACCTTTAAGATTTACAAAATCAAAAAGCTATGGAGTGACATAAGTTTGTTTTAATAAGAGCAAAACTAGAAAATGTCACAGCACACCGTCCAAGCGCTCCGACGTTCATGCGTAGCTTCAGCACCACGGATAGCGCCTGTCATTTCAGGTCCTTACTGAAATGGAGGGAGACGTTTTCTACACAAAAACCCCTCACCTGAAAGGTCGGCTGCAGCTTATACGAAAGCTGTAACAATAAGGTGCCCTTCTGCACCCAGGGCTCTCATCCCACTGTACATTTTGATCTACAATCATAAAAAAAAAACGTTTATAAAACTAACCCATAAAGAAAGAAAACAACTAAATAGGTTTAAAGATAATAAATACACCTAAGCCTCGATCTCAAGCAAAAAGAAATTAAAACTCAAGAGAGCCATCTGCTGTTTGTGGCTGTAATTAAACATGTGGGCTCATAGGGGATTGCTGTGTTGCATTGAACCTCCCTTTTTGTGTGTTTATTTTCAGCATGTCCAGCTCACCTGTTGGTATGCAGCTGTATGAAGGAGGGAATAACATAGCCCAAAATTAATGAAAAATAGCAGTAATTGGATTTTAAATAAACAGCTTAATCTCCCATAGCTGGAGTCTGCAATGAACAGTAACTAATTTTTTGATTGTTGTAAAGTATAGAGTAAGGTTCTTTTCATGAATAATTTAGGCTGTATTCCATCTCAGAATTTTTGGAAATAGACAAGGTATTGTACAGCAGTTTTTGACCAGCATATTCCGGCTTTGCTCTCTGAGGGATGCAGTAAACGGTCCAGCCAGCAGCGGACACTGTCAGCTCAACAATGGTCCCAAAGCAGTATTTCAAATCAGCACTGGCACAAAGGTGAATCAGGAGAGGATGTTTGATCTAATTTCTCACTTCTATATCATTTCTTATTCTACTCTGGACCTGCTGCAGCGCGAGACTGGGCAACATATGTGTAGTAAGTTAATTGAAAAGCTCTGGAAAAAGTCGTTATTGTATTAAAAAACTACATTTTCCAAAACATTTTCTAAAACATGTTTTATAAACTCAATTTAGTTTTGTTTATTTGCCAGTAATGTTACCCAAGTTATCCCTACTCCAATTTTTTATTTTTTGTTTACTTTTTGTCATGTTACAAAAATAAAGATTTTAATAGGCTTATTAAAATGTCACAGAACTACACAAAGTAGCTGGTTGTGAATAGAAATTACTTTTTATTTTTATTTTATTAAAAAATTCAATTGTGGTATTCAACTACAGTACTTTCTCTGATTCCTTACAATAAGATTTGGCCAACATTTGTGATAAGTTGTGATTATATCCCAAGCTCTGTGTCGATGTCTAAAAATCTAAAAATCAACAAAATCAACAGCATGGAATGACTACAAACCCACCAAGATGAGGCCTTTCAGCCTTAGACTAAAAGGCTTGTAAAAACAGCACTATTAATGTTTAATAGTGATATGTAACACTGCCCTGGATGAGCTATGAAGATTCACAGCTCAGGGGGAAATGGTAAAAGAGAAATTATTGATAAAATGCTCCATAAATCCAGCAAATAGACGGCCATTAAAAAAATATAAGCAGTGCTGCTTGGTCAGACTGGATTCAAACTAAACTCTTTAGCCTGTATGGAAAAGTCCTTGTGTGAAGGTTAGCTAACCAGGTACATCACATTGAAAACATCACACAGGATAATATGGTGATGGCAGTGTTTTGCTGTAGAGATCCCGTTCTTTGGCAAACAAAGGGATTCAGATAAGATCTGATGTGTTGATAGACTTAACTTAACATCGACAAAGACCGAAAAATTAACCTAGAGGCTGCAAAATATGGGGAAAGTTTACCATTCAACTGGACAATGAGCCTAAACACACAGGTAAATACCAGAGCTACTAGGGGGTGTATTAAAGCTAAGGTTAGTAACATGTCAGAAAAACACCATAAACTGCCACACCTAAATTCCAATAAGAAAAGAGTTGTAAAATGGTTGCTCGCAGATAATCTCCACCCAATCTGATTTAGGTGGTACAAATTTATCAATATTCGGGCAAAAATGTCTTTTTCTAGATCTGAAATGCTGGTAAAGACATAACACAAAATATTTTACAAATGAAAAAGTAGTTCTTTGTGTTGGTCTATGACACTTAATGCCAATAAAACACTATCTGGTTTGTATTTGTAATATTGATAAATGTCAAAACATTCAAGGAAAATGCATCTACAATACATCAACACGATACTGTATAGACTCAAATTAACAAACATTTAAATTCAAGATACTTTACAAGACACAAAGGTCTAATTTATTTGTAAATCTAAATTGATTCACATTTATTTTAAACCGGTTTGATTAAAACATTCAGTAAGATTTGGGTTAAGGTAAATACAGTTTCATTGAAGTCGGATTGCTATATGTTGCAAAATAGACTAAATATTGTAATAACTTGAGGACAGTTGTCTAAGGAAGTATCTTGGGAAATGCTTAACTTTGCAGCAACCTGTTTATAAGATATAACTATTGTGAAAAAAAGGAAAAAGCTGATTCATCATGCTTGTAATTTTGATTTAGGAAAAAAATTTTGTAAGTGAAAAGAGTAACACGCCAGCAGCAACAAAAAAAAGTAAAAAAAAAAATACAAAGTGACATTTCTTTACAAAAGACAAAAAGTACCATAATTTTAACAACACCATTATGTTCCATTGTACTTTACTACTAATAAGTGGTTGCTCATAAACAGAACACAGAACACACAAAAAAACAAGACAAATAACAAAAAACAAAACAAAAACACTGTTCATATTTTTGCATCGGATGCACTGAATATACTAGCCTAGTAAGTGTAAAAATCATGTACATCCAAAGGTGTCCCTCTGAAGTTTATCATAAACTTTTAATCAGAGGAAACCCACCTCAAAGTGTCAAATGTGTTGCTAAATCCTTTATAAAATTATAAAAAACAATCATACCTACATTTTTTCTCCTTTTGTATGTGAACGTATGAGAGTCCATGGCAATCCCATTCCATTTCTAAGTCGAGCTCTTCCTATAGGAGGCTTGAATGCCCCATTTATACTCTCCTCTTAAAAGATCTAATATGGTTAGTTTAACCAGACAGCCTGCCCTAAGCTGTTCACATTAATTTGTTCACAAATGCCTTAAACTCTTAATTCATTCCCTTAGTTAGTGCAGAGAAGAAAGACATTAAGATGAACACATTTTGACACTTTGTCTAAGCTTTCAGTCTTGAATTACTACAAATACGATCTGACAAAACGTTTCCATAGGCAGGAATTTGAAGACATAAACCAGCATAAGGAAAGATCTAAGTATTTTTTCTTTTTTGTTATCTTTCACAAACTGTTTTCCAAAGATAATCAGCTAACACTATAGGAATCATACTTCACCTGCATGGTAAACATTGCAATCCCATTTGCACTCATTTAGCAGAAAACAGAAGCCTTAATGAACGCAGCATCAGCCTCATCAGGTCAGGACATTTAAATCCAATCTCCTCTAAAGGAAATGAAATTAGCTCTGTTAGATGTCCTGCTGCTGGGGCAGAGCAAATGTCACGCAGCAGAAACTAGGGGTAAACAACCCATTTGATTACTGCTGCTACTTACCTTCAGGGCCATGTTTTTTAATCGCACATCCTGATGGGGCAAAACAGGCTGCTGCACTCAGCACTTCCCTGGCCCGGTGAAATAAAAGAAGATTAATAGATCTAAATTATGCACTATGAAAGACTAAAAATGTATTCAATTACAGATGAGTTATGTGTTTGTTACATACATAGTTTTCCTCTTCTATTTTTATTGTCCTCCAAATGCATATTTCATTTTAAATAAATATGCTGTCAGGAATCCATCTTCAGAAGACATAAAAATCCCAAAGAGCCCCTTATGGACTCTAAGTACCCTCCAGGGCTTGTGTATCTGTCTCATTTGTTTAAATGAGTGTAATACTACAAGCTAACCAGAGAGCAAATATAAATCGATTCACATAGGAAAATGAATATTATGAATGGGGTTACTGCAGTTTAGAGAAAGTTGAAAAAGTTCACAGGGTCATGATTTGAGCACCCGCCACAACAGCAGTAAGTGAAACATTATGCATGATCTATTCTTTTAAATTGAAATAGTTACAAATATCCTATTTAAATTTGATCTTTGTGTAATTAAATATATAGACTTTACTGCAATTGATTGCTGATTCTTTTCTAAAGTCTTATTGATAATACACCCATACACAGCCAAACGTACAAGTTGAGTGGAGAAGCTAAGGACTCTTGGCTATATGGCTGTGTTTTTTGTTCGACCCATGCAATTTCAAGCAAATATTTAAAACGAAATATTCATTGAGAAAAAAAAAAGATAAAAAAAACTGTTATTCTTACACAAATGATCATGGTCAAAGAAGACAACATGAGTTGTTATAGATCAGCATGTGATAAGAGGCTATAGTAAATGGGCAGGTGTTGAACATGGAGTCTACACTAAAAAAATAAAACCTGGATCCTGAAAACCACATTTTAAAGAAAAATGGATGAAAAAATATTTTTTTTGTTTAAGCAAAAAGCTCATTCTTGTGGTTAGCTTTCGGGAAGCACTGGCTGTGATGGGAAAGACCAATCAGGCCACATCAGCTAGGGGGAGTTGAAAGTGAAAGTGCTGACTGAAAATGGATGGAGTGACTGAGATAATTTTATTACAGCATTTTTTTTCTGTGGTTAGACAATTAACAGCAAAGAGATTGAAA